AACTTGCTAATTTGTTTAGATCTATGATTTTAGATATATCATCTGTATCTGACAAAAAAAAGAGCACATCAATGAGTTCAGAAGCAAATATTAGGAGTAAGGTTATCTATCTTATCTACCTTTAAGGTGAACATGTCAAGTACTGTTAACATTAGTGTGTGTATATAACTCTCACCTTCTTTAGGAATGCCAGGATGTTGTTGTTGTTGTTTATGCATCATGATATGTCTCATGCTTGAGGAATCTCACACTTGATTTAAGTTTAGACATGAGACAATACTGGTTCACCAGTGATTATTTGATTCCACTGATTGTACTTAAGTGAGAATCCCCTCAGAGTTGGACCAACTCAGCTACCAGTAGTACGATGTGTGAATCTGAATGCAGTCTTGACTGCTTGATTGAAGGCTGCTAAATAGTGAAGTCTGTTTTCTAAGTTGTCTGGTAGCTTGATCCAGAACTGAACTGCCTAGTGTCAGCTACTGTACATACACCAATGCAGGAGATTGCACACCCACCACAGATAATGATTGGGGTTGTTTTAGAGCTCTGCAATCTCAGTAATGTACCTGGGCTATCTTTGTAGTTCAAAGGCTTATTGGCCCCAAGCTTTGATAGTCTGAAGCATTTTTTAAATAAGTTTTAACCTGTCTTTTGTTGAGAAGATTCAGTAGCATGGAGGATCAAAAGTCTAATGGTTCAATACTATGTGGATAAGGTTCATTTCTACTGAATGCCTATTGGCCCTATCAAAGGCTATCTTGGGTAGCACATAGTGTCGGATGTATTTCAATTTGCTGGGGTGAATATAGGGTGACTTTCCGGACTATATTTTTATGAACAATAGCACAGGAATCAAATGTTTGTGCCTCATTAATGATTTGTAGTTTTTTTCTTTTTAAAAAAAAATTGGTGAGGCCTTGCAACAAAGCAGAAAAAATAATAAAAAATTACCCTAGAGACATCAGAAGGGATCTTCTGTAAAACTGAATAGCAAAGATGTGCAATATAATATTGATCAGTATTCTTTCAATCAATTAAGGAAGAATGCATGAACCCCTCTTGCCATGCATGTGCAAACCAGTCAGGGGTTAATGGACCCAAAATATTAAGTAATAGATATATGTATCAATTTATGTCACAAATTTATAGAAAATAATGCAATTGTCAGTTGTTCATAATCTTTGCAAAATTTTATGCGAAAGAAATGAAGGGCAAGGGAAAAATGAACACTTTATGACATGCATGCTCAGTTAATGATACTGGGTCTCAGTGACCTCAGTCTTGGGCTTTGTTCACATGGAATGTCTATTTTCTAAAAATCTATTTTCTATTCGCGGTATCTTATGATCACGGTCTGTGCCCTGAATATCCTGCCGCATAATTACTGGCAGCGCGAGCCAGTTACTTATAGTAACTGGCTCGCGCTGCCAGTAATTACGCCGCGGGATATTCAGGGCACAGACCGTGATCATAAGACATACCGCGAATAGAAAATAGAATTTAGAAAATAGACATTGCATGTGAATGAAGCCTTGGTAGCATAGAAGGAGAGGATCTTTAAACACTGTCAACAGCAGATATTGGCCCAATTAAAAATAATTGTTGGAATTATAAACAGACCTTAATGTTTGATCATATAAACTAGAAAAGCACTCAGTGCAACCTTCGCGAAGACAAATAATTACCAATAAGTAACCATTAATCTGTTAATCATCACCAAAATCTAATAATTTCTTCCTTTGCCCATTTGTTGCATAACCTAAACATTTCATAAAAATCTGTACATAATTATTTTGTGCTGATTTAAAACAATGAAAATATAAAATATCAGCGTTTATTTTTCGTTCCAATGTATAAACATAGGCAACTCAAAGCTTTAGTCGTCAATTTTACACCTTTCTATTTTGAGGTAAGATAGCAAGCGGTATGGGGCATAACTTATCCCTGAACAAGATTTTATCATGAAAATTGACAGAGTTGATCATGATTCTATGGGCTATAATCCTGTGCTATCATTTTTGGTTTTATTGTTTTTATTATGGAGTTATGAGTCCCTAATTACAGATTTTCATTAAACAATGGTGTTATTTCCCTTTATAAATGATGAAGTCCAAACTTTTAAGAAAAATCACTGGCAGGGTTTTGGAGTACTAAATTATGTCATTATATTGGCGTTGAAATGGTGATCGTGGGTGCTCAAATAAAAGAGAAATTTGAGAAACCGATTTTTCAGTTTTTACCCCAAAATAGCAATTATGACGTCACTCGTAAGATGACATTTGTGTAAATGTTTATTAATTTATTCATTGAACAATGAATATGTATTTATTACCCAAAAGAATCTATGCAAGACTTAACCAAGGATGCTTTTAGTTGATGCTGACTGCTATACCATTGTGGTCCCAGATGATAGCAGATGGGATAAGTAGTTCCTGGTATGAAGTGATGCATTTGATATGGTCCATGGAGATAGTACTTAGTCTCTCTAAGAACACTCACATTGGGTATTAGAGATGAAACATGGTCCAGTTCTGTAGGTCACCTAGTCAAGAACAGACAAAAACGAGCACAATTGGCAGCTTGAGCCATTTTGGCATTTTCTAAGAATTTTTGTAGAACGCTGGCGGTACTCATGGTTTTAGTCCCAACCCGTCTCGTACGGCTCCGCTGGCTCGTGCGGCTCCGCCGGCTCCGCGTACTGGCGCCGGATACAAGTCACCGTTACCGCTTCTCCTCCTAGACTGCAAGGACCCTTGTCCCCATCTCTTGGATTTAGGTCACATATAATCTCAACTTGAACCTCCTGTTCTTTTTGTCTCAGTCAGTGCATTGGCCTGGGCATGACGCTCATTGAAACACACCCTTTAAAATTTTTTGAAAATTCAATGCCAAATATCTCCCAAATCGAAGGAATTATGGGAAAAATTACTACAGAAGTCTGACCGAAAGTCATATATGAAGATTCCAGATATGCCCTTGGATTTGACTTTTGACCTTTATTNTTGGCCTGGGCATGACACTCGTTGAAACACACCCTTGTCAAAAATTTTGAAAATTCAATGCCAAATATCTCCCAAATCAAAGGAATTATGGGAAAAATTACTACAGAAGTCTGACTGAAAGTCATATATGAAGATTCCAGATATGCCCTTGGATTTGACTTTTGACCTTTGTTTCAAGGTCAAACGGGCCAAAATTTTCTAAAAATCTTAATTTTTTTGTGAAAAATTTTTTATTTCTGCTGATTTTCAGAAACTACACAGATCTAACCTATAATATTATGGGTAGTTGTTACCCTTTGGGTCATCTTTTATCTTTTTGAGTTTGGGGTCAATCGGTGGATTTTCATGAGAGTAGCGGCCATTAGATGCCGAAACTGAAAACTTTCTATAATTCTGGAACCGTTAATGCTAGAGACCTCTTGTTTTTTGCATTTTGTAGAGCTTATCAAGTGCAACACAGACGGTGGTGTCCATTTTTCCTTTTTTGGTTCAGCTTAGGCATTGCATTATACCAAAAAGTTCAGTATCCGATATTCAATGGTGAAAATAAAATGTGAAATACTCCAAAACTGGCAAAGATACGCCCATAGTTACTATTGAACTTGAATAGGAAGTCATATACTGGCAATTTACTGTGACCTTGAAATTGACCTTTGACCTAATTTTCACCATGAACTGCACTTTGCAAATTTTCCAGACCTTATATCTCTAAAACTATCAGAGATACGCCCATAGTTACTGTTGAACTTGAGTAGGAAGTCATATACTGGCAATCTTACTGTGACCTTGAAATTGACCTTTGACCTACTTTTCACCATGAATTGAACCTTGCAAATTTTGTCACCCTTATATCTCAGAAAACTGACAGAGTTAGGCTCATAGTTGCTATTGAACTCAAATAGGAAAGCATATACTGGCAATCTTACTGTGGCCTTGAAATTGACCTTTGACTTACTTGTTATGATGAACTGCATTTTGCATGTTTTCTGGCCTTTATATCTCCAAAATTGGCAAAGAAATGCCCATAGTTACTATTGAACTTGAATAGGAAGTCTTATACTGTGACCTTGAAATTGACCTTTGACCTTCTTTTTCACCATGAACTAAACTTTGCATATTTTCTTGCCCCTCATATCTTCAAAACTAGCAGATATATGCCCAGTGTTGCCCCTTGGTTTTCTTTTTTATCAGCAAATATGCAACACTGATAATACATTTCCAGGAAAACCAATAGGCCTTTTGTCTAGAAAATCACAGGAGTGATCAATGTGAGGAAAATACAGGTCAATTCGAAAATTGATAGGACCATTTTTACAGGTATGTTTTTTTTTTTTTTTTTTTTTTTTTTTT